CATCTACATTATAAAAATAGGTCATGTGTCACAGTATATGCTGGCTCAAAGAAGAATTCGGAGAATATTTCATTCTAATGGAGATATGGATAAATATAAACAAAATAATAAAAATACCTTTTAAATGACAGAGAGATCGTATGTTTGAATTGTGGTTGAAAGCGCCAACTGAAGAGGGAGACCACACTTCTGGCAGGCTCGTAAGACACCAAGCTCCACAATTTTCCGACCCTCTGTCCATCCAATGCTTTTGCATGAGCTGGTACAACCACTTCATGATCCATAACTTGAAAACTGGGAGTGCCACACCCTTCATCTATTGAATATTTATTTAAAAACAAACTTGAAAGTACTTTTTAAGATTTGAGATATTTTTTTCAAATGCAATTTTTATATAAAACAAAAATTGTATGCATTCCATTAGCTCAAGATTTGAGACTTAACTGATACTGAAACAGAACTGGTTATCTTTTTTCATACCTGTATGTACAATTATCAGTAATGCATTTAATATATAAATATTTTAACATTAAGTCTCTTGCCGTTTGACCCAAAGTATACTGATATGACCTCGAATGTGACCCTGACTTTCACTATGAATTGAATTTGAATTTTTTTTTTACTTTCCATTCAAATTCCCATGGAAGTTATTAGTAAATCACAAGAAATTGTGTTGTCAAATGGTCTTGAAATAAGACCCCCTAACGTAAAAAAAAATATATGTTAACTTTATGCAGACCAACATTTTTTTCCCACACCACAACCCTATATAACCTTACTTTTTATGCCCCCGGATCGAAAGATCCCGGGGGTATATTGTTTTTGTCCTGTCTGTCTGTTTATCTGTTTGTCTGTTTGTTTGTCTGTCTGTCTGTTGTCAACTTTAACCTTGCCCATAACTTTTGATTGGTTGGAGCTATGACTTTCATATTTCACATGTGTATTCCTTGTGACAAGACCTTTCTTTGGGTACCATCATATTTGACCTTTTGACCTTGACCTTGGAGTTGACCCACTTTTGCAAAATTTTATGAAACTTTAACATGTGTATTCTTTGTGACAAGGCCTTCCTTTGGATACCAACAACTTTGACCTTTTGACCTTGGAGTTTGACCCACTTTTGAAAAACTTTAACCTTGGCCATAACTTTTGAACAGTTGGTGCTTGGGGTTTCAAACTTCACATGTGTATTCCTTGTGACAAGACCTTCCTCTGGATATCAACCTCTTTGACCCTTTGACCTTGACCTAGGAGTTTGACCTACTTTCGAAAAACTTTAACCTTGACCATAACTTTTGAATGGTTGGTGCTAGGGCTTTCATACTTTACATATGTAATCCTTGTGACAAGACCTTCCTTTGGATACCAACAACCTTGACCTTGACCTTGATGTTTTACTTACTTTTAAAAAACTTTAATCTTCGCCATAATTTTTGAACAGTTGCAGCTAGGGCTTTCAAATTAAACATTTTTTATCTTTTGGCCTGGATTTTGACTTGCATTTGAGAAACTTTAACCTTCGCCATAAGCTGTCATACGGGGGTATCAGTGTTTCACAAACACATCTTGTTTCATATGTACATTTGTATCCCTTATCAATCCTCACAGTGTATATAAATAAAGATAAAGGAAGTAATCTGAAATAAAATTACCGTATTAAGATCCTTTTGCAATGCAAGTTTAACTTTGATGGTCAATTAAAGTTTAACATTTGCCTTGTCTATCAATTTTGCACTGCACTGCATGCCCATGGTGGTGATCACCCAGGCAGTATTGACATATTTTTGATCGAAGTTTTCTACAAAATTTGAATTAGTATTATGAATCAAATCCATTCAATTTTAAAGACATATTTTCCAACAGAAAATCTCTCCTATTCATACCTGGGTCTGAATTTACAAGTGTATGAGTTGAGTCTAGTGCTACCCACATTGGGGATTTTACAACAGTTCCACAGGTCAGTGCAGTATACAAACACAAATATACGTAACTGCAATAAAAGGTAAACAAAAGTAATGCAAGATAACCAGCACGAACACGGGTAGCCATTCCACGCCGATACCCGTGACAATAAAGCAGTCAGGTGTAATGAATGCGAAGAGTATACCCTGGTGCTGATGTCTAAGATGGTAATATCGAAAATGGCGTATGCCTATTTACGAATTTAATCAGGAAACTCTTTATTTCCAACCTTTATTATTTATTTCCTGCAAGTGATAGGAGACACTATGGGTATTTATACATTTTAATTAACTCTCTATATCTGTTATAATAAAGGGTAAACATCATCAATAATATAATTCAGACGTATTTACATAGGCATAATTTTAACCATCGCCATCACTCTAGAGATATATTCTAAAACAGAAATTGTCAAAATGACCCTAAAAACATTCACATTTCATGCAGGAATAGATAAAGGCACAGTCTCGGTTACAATTACAGGGGTGACTGATATTTTGGCAGCTATGGCAAACCAGTTTATACGGTGGCCATCAACAGAGGAAAGGCTGGAGATTAAAGAAGGGTGTTGAGTCACGTTTTGTCCGCCGTCACATTCTGTCCGCCGTCACGAAATGTCCGCCTCCAAATTCCCTAACGTGGAATTTTTCAAAATATAACAAAAAGGTGTTGCACTCCCTACATTTTTGGTGTCATTTTCAGGTATAACTTCTTGTTTCTTAAAGGTGCTTGGACACAGATTTGAAGTTAATATTCTCTCAAAGTGTCTGTATAATTTCATGACTTATATGTTGCTATAGCATTTCATACTAATATATAATAAAAATCTTTCATCTCGAAGTTATTAAAACTTCGAATTTCTGTTCGCGTTGGATTGACACATCCTTGCGCTTTCACAAATTTTAATTTTATTCTTAATTCTTAAGAAAAGTGGCAATTTTGTTGTGTATTAATGAAAAATATTAAAACTATAAACCAGAAAATTCAAAGTAGAAATGTTCGAAAGTAAAACCCACTCACAGTATTGTAAGTCCGTCTTCAGTGGTGTGTGCAGAGTTTAACAATTGAACACACCCGGTGAATCGTAAACATTAACAATAACAGAGCTCGTGCCCTATTTACAAAAGCAGTTTACGTTTCACGGGTGTGTTCAATTTGTTAAAATCTGTACACATCACTGAGCACGGACTGACAATACTGGTGAGTTGGTTTTGCTGTCGAACAGTTCTACTCTAAATTTTCTGGATTATAGATGTAATATTTTTCATTAATACGTAACAAAATCGCTTCTTTTCTTAAATATTAAGGATAAAGTTAAAATTTGTGTAAGTGCAAAGATCTGTTTATCAAACGCGTCTCGGAATTTGAAGTTCCAATAATTTCCAGATAAAATAAGTTTTTAATTATATTTTCGTGTGAAATGCTATTGCAATATATAAGTCGTGATATTATACAGAAAATTTGAGAAAATATTAAGTTCAAATCTGTGTCTAAGCACCTTTAAAGGTTTTTTTCTAATTTTATTTTCGTGTGAAATGCTATAGCAACATATAAGTTGTGATATTATACAGAAAATTTGAGAAAACTTCAAATCTGTGTCTAAGCACCTTTAAGATATCATTGAGATATTTGGCAGGCATCTAGCCAGTATCAACAGACACATGAGGAGCTAAAGAAATTTATTCACGTAGCCTGAATTTTTAGTGCAGGTTGATAATTAAGTGTCTGGTCACTTTATTTTTTAATACTTACCCATACCTACTTAATGTGATTGATGCAAATATCAAAGGACTATATATGATAAGAGTCAATTTTAGAACATTTTAGAATGTGATTCAGATATGTATAATTGTTTCTTATTTTGTAGAAGAGATTATATTAGAGATATTTCCATTACATTTTTCAAATTTATCATATGCGTTCACATGCTGTGAATGACGTCAGAAATGATGGTATATTTACAATCCAATAAAAATAAGACAAAAATGTGCCTTTTTCTTTACGTTTTTCTTATAGGAAACATAGAGCGCAGCCTTGAACATGCAAAATTTTTCTGTCAGTAATTAGTCTTGGATAGATACATCTTTGGTAGAAATTTAAAGTTTGTTCAAAGCCGCACTCAGTATTATCTGAAAGAAAAACTGCTTGAAAATAAGCAGTTTTGTACAAAAAATGCTAAGGCGGGAAAAGGTGAACATTATGATGTAAAATTTCTAAATCAATGGCATTTTGATCAAATTGAAAATTAAGGATAAAGGCCATGTGTGTAGCTGTGCAAAGTAAAGCTATATATAAAGTAAAATTAAGATATTCATTTTTAAGTTAAGGGGCCATTTGAGACACTTATCATATATAATTGTTCTTTCTAAAATTTTAAGAAATTGTAAACAAAATTAAATATTTTCGCTTTCACTCTTATATACGCTTATAGATGTATATCAAACTTTTTATCACTTTATAGGACATTATTTTGAAAAATTGAAAGAAAAATAAAACTCTTTGCGACTAAACTTTTCCATTTTACGTAAATAAACATGGCTTTAGTTGTTATTTTCATGATTTTTAGAGAAAGTGTTTGCATCATCTGACCTTACTGTATTCAGTATGCTCTATAGATTTTCCTTGACTGAATACCTCGTGGGCCAAAATGACCAAAGCTTTGGATGAAATGGATCAGCTTTTGGTCATTGTGTCATGGGTCGAATTGTTGGTGTGCCAAATTGTTTGTAAGCCGAAGCGTCGGTGGGCCGAAGCGTCCAGCATAGACGAATTTCACATTTACGAAAGTTATTTCCCTTTGCGGGGTCAATCTGGGGTCAACCGGCGTATGGCACCGTTTTCCCTCTATAACATTACTAACTTTTGGGGGCAATATCATGCAAATTAAATCCGTTTGAATATATTCCTTTTGTTTTTTATGTTGACCCATACTAAGGCAATTCAGGAACGGTTCAAAATTGTCTGATTTCGTTTGAAGGTTAAAAATATTTACAGGTAAGCTACATGTGAAATTCGTCTATTGGGATTGTAACAGCGCTTCGTACATTGTACCTCCGGCAAGTGAAACGTGCTACTCGGCGGGTGCACCGTACTGACCAGGAAAGCTTACAGAATGGGGAGCAAACCAGAGCCTATCCGTGATCCAAAGAACCTGTATACAAAGGTAAAGAGAGGTTAATGTAGTGACAGTTCATTGCAAGAGTGTATTGTTATGTTTTATATGCGCTGTACACACTATGCAGTTGCAAGCACAAGTGTATATTCTGACTTCTGAGTAAAGACATATGGGAGAATACACCTATATGTTTTGACCATTTAAAATCTTGTCTATGTTTATTCTGACATACATGTATTGTGTTATTGTTAAAAGTTTTAAAGAGAAAAGAAATTTTGACATGTATATCTACTGTGTTTTAGGATTGAGTAGATAAACAAAATATTGTTGGGGATTATTTTTGTACAAGTTGTTACTTTTCGCTCTATATTTTGAAATTCCAGGGGCTAAATGAATGAGTAAAGTCTTTAAAATGACGTGTGGGAGCCACTGTTTGTGTGTTTACTTGTGCTACTCGAATATTAAACAGCTTTATTCCCCATTTTTGGCCTTCAAATTTGATAATGCGGTATCACACTGTTTACACGTGGTAGGTTTGTTGGCTAAATGTCATGGATTTCTCTAGCCTAGTTTTTATGCTGTCATATGAAGTTACATTACTTCAAAACATATCACATGATACAATACCCTAAGTTGATCAATAAGTGTTGACACAATTTGCGGTGAACTCCGATAACGGCCGCGGCAATATTTACTTTTTAAAGGTATGGAAACTCTATCGTGCATAATTCAATCAAGAATTATCCAGGAAGACAGGTGTGCATGTATATGCATCTTACTATCCTCATTGAGCTGTTTTATCGAGAAAGACTTAATATATCGAATATCCCATACATTGCTGATTTGCAAATTATGCATATTCATACCGAAGTGCTACATAGTGTGAAATAGAAAGAATACATGTTTGTTGAGTCGATCAGTAACTGCATCTACAAAGGTCTAAATACAACTAAGTGATTTTTCATTAGTTTATACTACCATACATGCCTCAGATGCAGCATTTGATCTACCTGAATGATCTGACTTACACTAAAAAAGGGGGGCACAGTAAATGAATATGTAAACCGAAAATTAAAATATAAGATAATGTTTGAAAGCAACATAATATGATATAAGTTTACGCATGATGATAATACTTTTAGCCCCGGACATATTTTTCCTTAAGCGTTGTCTATTAATAATTGAACTGAAATTCAATTGACACTTTCTTCATAATTCAAATTATTTTGAACTTGTGTACTTAAATATTTTGTTAAATTCCAAGGTTTACTTCTGATTGTCGATTTAACGCTATTGAAAGCTACATTTCAGTCACACTAGTAATTCATGATTAGCAATCAATTGTACCAGCTTGTGCTAGGTTTTGAAAGAATCTGATGTTCATATCCGTTAATATTTTTAAAAAGTGAAGATATTGCATGTATCTGCTACATGTATCTATCTATATTGACATGTATATCTGTTACTGGCCAATAAATCAACACCGTGCAACGAAGTATAGTCCCACGAGCTGAATGTCACCACTCTTTGCAAGATAAATACCTTGGCCTTCAATCTGGGTTCGATCGGTAGATTGATTTTTTCCAAACTTCCTGCATTTATACGAACCTTCGAGGTCAACCAGTGTATTGACACGGCGGCAAATTCAAAGTGTACGGGGATTTAACATAAAAAAAAAAACAATGTACCGATCAAACCTAGGTTGAAGACCAAGGTATTTATATATTTTGAGATATCTTGCAAAAAGTGGTGACGTTCCGGTCGTGGGACAGACTTTAGATATACAATATCCTACACAGCTATGATATAGTCCAACTACCTTACGTAATTTCGCCCGATTTTCGGACAAGATCTCCATGAAAACCTGTCCGTAATATCGTGTGCTAATTTTAGCAATTAAATGTCTTTCTTTAAACATACTTGTAGATTTTCATCAACAACGAGTTTGTGGATTCTGTCAGTGGTAGAAAATTTCCTACTATTAACCCGTCGACAGGCAAAAAGATTTGTGACGTGGAAGAAGGCGACAAGGTCAGAACCAATCAAAAAGAGAGATATACATTTATCTGATAAGAATCACCATTTATTCATCTTTAATCATCTTGATGCCCTTGACCTTTACAGGAGGACGTTGACAGGGCTGTTGCTGCAGCCAAGGAAGCCTTCAAGTTAGGATCACCATGGAGACGAATGGATGCCAGTCAGAGAGGAAGACTTCTGTACAAACTAGCGGACCTGCTCGAGAGAGACGCTCAGATTCTAGCGGTAAACTATCGTACAGAGTTTGGAATCCGAGTTTTGTTACTATAAGAGTGTGAGGTGAAAGAGACAATGATATAAACACATTGTATTTTGCAAAATATGATAAATTAAAAAAGCGACGACATATTTTCTGTCCGATAGATTAGTTTTGAGCCATAGAAATAACATTGTTGATTAGGAGTATGGTGTTTTACTGAGTATATTTATAACATTCTCCTTTTGTAGAGCCTGACCACATTGGAGATGGGAAAGCCGTATAAGGTAGCCTATGACGAAACATTCTGGTCTGCGGGTGTTCTCCGTTACTTTGCGGGATTCGCTGACAAAATCGGCGGCAAAACTATTCCTATGGGTAAAGCTGCTTGCTTAAAAGAATATTACATGATTGTATAAGGATTTTCAATTGAAAACCATCTTAATTACTAGTATTAATTAACCATAATTATTATATGGTTACAGATGGAGATTATTTTTGCTTCACTCGACATGAACCAGTTGGTGTTTGTGGGCAGATCATTCCGGTATGTAAATCACCCTGAGCTTAATTTAGGGGGTTTGGAACATACGTTTGAAGAAAAAAAACTCCCTTGTAGATTTCCTGCAATAACAGCCACAATTATTTCACAAAAAATGACTCCGAAACATTTTGACATGCAAAAAAAAAAAAATTTAAACATCTTGCTGTTTTGTCTGTAAACTTCTCTATTAGTATACATGTATATCCATTTGACATTTTACATTTCATGCAATTTGTTTACAATTTATGCCTTTAAAAGTACCGTTATATAGAGAAAACCAATATAACTGTTAAAGTCTATGTACATTTTACTTAACAATTTGTCATGGTTTACAGTGTATATCGGTGTAGATAAAAACTTTACAAGTTAAACATCATCTAAAAGCGACTGTATTAGCTAGCATTGATAGCAAAGAAGGAAAAATGGATTGCGTAGAGTCTACGTTCTAGTCGAACACTGTGAAACCTATGTGCAATCAAACTCAAGAGCCTTTATGAGGGATCTCAAAAGTACATGGAAGCAATATAATGATGAAAATATTTCCCATTTTTAGCTCACCTCAACGAAGTTGGGGGAGCTTATTTGATACCGTCGGTGTCAGCGTCGGCGTCCCAGTTTAAAATGTTTGGTGCAGTCTGCTTTTTAAGTACTTCTGAGTACTAATCAATTATTGAGTTATTAATAATTAAGTAATTAATCAGAGATGCATGGAGGATGCTTCTAGTAGTGTGTTTCATTGTACCAGTCAAGGTTTCAGATGCTGCAGTTTTAGCTAAGGAGTGATCAGGTCAATTTTTTGGAGTAAAAGTTTTTAATGCAGATTAAAGTTTTTGGATCAGGTCGCGTTTCCAAGTAACTATAAGCCCAACGTTGACCAAACTTGCATGGATGATACATCTAAGGATGCACACTAATGGACTTGCTTCGGATGCTGAATCTGACATACATTTTCCAGATAATGGACCAGGTTAATGTTTTGGGTGCAGGTCTATTATAAAGAAACCATAAGGCCTATGTGAACCAAAATTGCACGAATGATGCTTCAAGTGATGAATGCTCTCAAACTTGCTTCAGATTCTGGATTTGAGTTACATTTTCTGGATGAGTGACAAGTTTGAAGTTTTTGGATAAGTCTATTCCCAAGTATTTATTTATCGGTAGGGGGACAATCTCTAAAACGTAACAAAAAAAGGAAAATTATCTCAGATATCATCACAAATTAGGTATAATATTCAAGCAATTCGTAGATTTTTTATGTTGCCTTTTGAAAACAATTCTAAGAGAAAGAGAAAGGGGGGGGGTGTATTTACATTTGAAGAAGCTCGGATTTTTTTCTGCTTCGAAGCAAAGGAGAAAGGACAGGGGAGAAAAGTGAAGAGAACATTGGATTCTTTAGCAGGAGAATATATTTTATCGAAAAATGTATTGCCTTAAGATGAATTGAGGAGATAGAAAACAAAAATCCAATGATTTTAAAAATATGCATGCATATTTGAATTCTGGAAACTGCTTTCAAATACATAATAAAAACAACAATACAAGTCAAAATCTGTAGTACACCCCATATCAATCCTCAGGTTGATATCGGGTGTTTCGCAGATTTCGTCATATATTATTCTCAATTGCTATAATATGCAAAACAGAAATGAACACTCCTGATACAACTTGATGAGTTTTTTGCCCATATCTTGTTGTTTTGCAGTGGAATTATCCGACACCAATGTTCGTATGGAAATTGGGTCCTGTTTTGGCATGTGGATGTACCACTATTATTAAACCCGCAGAACAAACTCCCCTCACTGCATTACACGCTGCAGCATTGTGTAAAGAGGTCGGAATACCTCCCGGTGTGGTCAACGTTGTACCTGGTTACGGCCCAACGGCAGGAGCGGCTCTGACGGCACATCCAGATGTTGACAAAGTAGCCTTCACTGGATCCACTGAGGTATGTCTTTTTCTGACAACTTTCAAATATTTGGCACAAAACTGATGTCAGAGTTTTAAGAAATCGGGTTGGCAGACTCATTTTCCGATTTTTATTGTCACACTCTAACCTTTGAATTCAGGTTGGCAAACTTATTCTTCAAGCTTCTGGCGGGGTTAACATCAAACGCACAACTCTAGAACTTGGTGGCAAAAGTCCCAATGTTATCATGGATGATGCTGATCGTAGGTTTTAAGCTAGTAATTCAAAGATAAAATATAAATATTATACAAACTCACTTACTCTTTGAATTTCTAGTAGTGTACAAAATGTCAATCATTTTAATATACTTATTTCTAGTTGATGAAGCTGTGAAATTTGCTCATAACGGTGTAATGGTCAATTCTGGTCAGTGCTGCATTGCTGGAAGTAGAACGTTTGTGCATGAGAAGATTTACGATGAGTTTGTTGCCAAAAGTCGTGAAATGGCAGATAAACGGCTGACAGCTACAGGAGATCCATTTGATCCAAAAACGGCACAGGGTCCACAGGTAGGGAAAAACGGCACAGGGTCCCCAGGTAGGAACAAACGGCACAGGGTCCCCAGGTAGGAACAAACGGCACAGGATCCCCAGGTAGGAAAAAAGGCACAGGGTCCCCAGGTAGGAAAAAACAAAGCAACTTAATAGGTTGGGTTGAGAAAGACAGGTTATAAGTCGCTATTTAAGCCTGTTTAATTGGGTATTGAAGTTTAAAATATGTCATAATTTGAATATATGCATTTGCTTACTATGCTTAATTCAAAATGTATTAAAATATGTTACATAATGCAAAGCAAGTAGCTAATGCAGCTTCGAATTCAGGTGGATGAGGAACAATACAATAAAATTTTGGAGCTCATCGAGTCTGGAAAGAAAGAGGGCGCTAAAGTCGAGAGTGGTGGCGCTGCGGTCGGAGGGGATGGTTATTTCATCAAACCAACTGTGTTCTCTGGAGTTACAGACAACATGAGAATTGCCAAGGAAGAGGTGGAAAAAGACTTATTTAATACCTTACTACAAGTATAATTTCATCATAAACTTTGCCGATTTATTTTATTTTTTGTTGTTGTTGTTGTACGCTCTAGCCAGACGTGTTCATGCCTTGTAATACTTATTTTAAAAATAAAGTTTAATTTTCTTATGGCAGATATTTGGTCCTGTCCAGCAAATTTTCAAGTTTAAAACTCTGGACGAAGCCATTGAACGTGCCAATGCTACGGAATATGGACTGGGTGCCGCCATCTTTACTAAGAGCATTGATAACGCCTTGATGTTTACACAGGGTGTCCGAGCAGGAACAGTTTGGTAGGCAGAGAAAACTTAAGGGGATAGGAAAACTATTTACAATTGAATTTTTATTTTTTTAAACATTTGGGGGTATCCAGAAAGTGTTATTTTACAAAAGATGTAATTAAAATAAATTTAATGATTTAACATAACTCTCTGAAATTTGTGTACTGTTTTAGGGTGAATCTTTATGATGTTGTAAACCCACAGGCGCCATTTGGAGGATTTAAAATGTCAGGAATTGGAAGGGAACTGTGAGTCCATTAGCTTAATTAATTAAAAATATTCATTGTCGTATTTTACAGTAGTATGAAACATATGTGATAACTAGACATAAAATTACAAATCATCTTGCATTTAGATACGTCATTTCAATTACAGAGTATATCTGACTGATTATTTTTAAGAATTAGCCCTCGAATTGTTCATTAATTCGTGATTTATCGGGACCTTTGTGAGATGTTTTAATTAAGTAGCTTGTAAGGTAAACTTTTGTAGAATATTAGAAAAGTGTACACTTTGTTTTGCATTTCATATCTACATTTTCGTCATTTTTTTGAAACAGTGGTGAATATGGCTTATCGGCATACCAAGAAGTCAAATCGGTGAGATAGTCTTCATTCAGTTTATATCAAACTTTAACAAAATACTGTCAGAGATAGTGCTTTATTCATTTGTTCTTAAAAATTACCAAACTTAAATACAAGGCATCGCGAAAGCGTAGTAACATCGTGTTTTTTTTCCAGGTCATAATGAAAATTCCTCAAAAGAATTCGTAAACTTCGGGATGACGTCGGGGATTTGTGCAGCCTTCCTTCCCGTGACTTGCGCATTGATGAAAGGGCGACGCTTTTTAATTCAGTGTGTTATAGCCAGGCATTTTACTAATCCTGCAGCTTTCGTTAATTGTTAAACAGTTTTAAGCTCTATTACACATTATATTTAGTTTTTGTTGACATATATCTTAAAGACTGGAAACTGTTTGTCAGAGTGACAATGTGTTGATTTGCAAAAAATAAAAGGACAACCGTTTTCATTTTATTTTACTATTTCCATACGAAATAAATGCATTTATATATTATTATCTTGAGTGTTATTCGGTGGAGATGACAGCCTTTTACAAATTTATATGATGTACACTGTATACAAGTTTATTTACACAAGAGTGTACAAACAAAGTCTGCAGATATTTAAATATATTACGTATACAGATGATCAGGTATTGAACTCCTGACAAGGTAGCTATTATCTGATAATGAAAAGTAAAGAAGCATAGCTGTATCACAGGTACTTGTGGACAGGACCACCACCCCCCCCCCCCCCCCCCCCCCAGCAATTCAACCCCGAGGTTTGTTGGACATTTTTTTCACAAATTATATTTATTACACTTATTCATCATGTGTACCATACGAAAACATCGTAAAAACCCCAAAATAATCGTTCCACACAAAAATACCCCACTATACATTATAAGAGAGAAAGGTATGCCACTCCGGTTTGTTTACGTTGTACCCCCACTAGTCCTTCTGGGTTTAAAAACATGTATTTATTTTATTTTAACCTAAAATGTCGGTTCACACTGTCTCTACATATATTTCTGTCATAGTTCATGCTATCGGATTGACTCTGCATCTCGTAAGAATCCCACAATTAATCCTTAAACAGCATTGTAGTCAGCGCGTTGAAAATTTCTTGGGTAAACGGAACGGAAGTGCATAGAGAATATATTAACTATTATGATAACACCCGAGAGAGATTATTACGTCAGGCCAAAACTCTCGGACGTTATCGCAATAAGTGATACATTCTTGGTGTACTTCCGTTGCGTTTACTTGAGGAATTTTCAACGCGCTGACTACAATGCTGTTTAAGGATTAATTGTGGGATTCTTACGAGATGCAGAGTCAATCCGATAGCATGAACTATGACAGAAATATATGTAGAGACAGTGTGAACCGACATTTTAGGTTAAAATAAAATAAATACATGTTTTTAAACCCAGAAAGAACTAGTGGGGGTACAACCACAGGTACTTGGGTCTTGGTTTATAAATATGTATGTACCTTATTGATATGTAAAAAAAAAAGTACTTTTTTTTTTACATATCAATAAGGTACATACATATTTATAAACCAAGACCCAAGTACCTGTGGGTACAACGTAAACAAACCGGAGTGGCATACCAATGTATAGTAGGGTATTTTTGTGTGGAACGATTATTTTGGGGTTTTTACGATTTTTTCGTATGGTACACATGATGAATAAGTGTAATAAATATAATTTGTGAAAAAAATGTCCAACAAACCTCAGGGTTGAATTGCAGGGGGGGGGGGGGGGTCCTGTCCACAAGTACCTGTGAGCTGTATCGAAGAAAAAAACCTTTTTTACTATAAATACATTTTCAATTCATCTAAAACGTTGTTGCCCATTATAAAGTACATGTAAAATTGATAAATTTTGAATATTTTCAGCTTCAATTTTATCCAAATTTCGGAATGTACCATTAATAAACAAAGAAAAATAATATTGTGATTTCTATTATCTCTGCACTCATAGGGAACGGTCGCCCGCGTGGCGCAGTGGTTAGAGCGTCTGCTCTAGAGTCGCGAAGTAAGGAGTCCATCCTTACGTCGCGGGTTCGAATCCCACTGTGGGACGTGGAGACCGGTCCTTCGGATGAGACCGTATAAACCGAGGTCCCGTGTCGCACTAGGTGCTGGCGCGAAAAAGATCCCTCACTGCTCAATGGTCGTAAGTGCCGAGCATAGGACAAAATTTGCAGCTCTCCACCGGCAAGTGGTGGCGTCTCCATATGAGTGAAAAATTCTCGAGAGGGACGTTAAACAACATATAAATAAACAAATCATAGGGAACGAGGAATGGGACCAAAACTGCAATTTTCAGAAGTCTAAAATTGAGAAATTCCCTACCAGAATTCACCTTTCAGCAGGCAAACTGTTAACTTGATAAAAGGGAGAAGTAAAACAATAGACCTTTAAACGTCAACTATTAAAATAAAATCGTGACTTTTGGGTTCATTATTCAGGCTCCGGGAATGGGGGAGATAAATACATTATCTCTGTGAATATTCTTCATCACGCTTAGACCAGTCGCAACTTCTCGGGCCTTTCCGACTAGCGGAAAAACAACCTCGAATGTATTACGTAGACGCCATGATAACCCCCCTTTTCACAAACTTTGAAATAAATGTGGGAAGACCTCTTATCTGTGGAGTATAGAGTTTAACTTTATTGAATGTAAAGATATTACCTAAAATATACCATAGAGGGGACTTTTAACTCCGTCTATCCTATATTTAAATAAATAGGATGTTGTATAAAATTTTAACATCCGGTGATGTTAATACATTCGAGGTTGTTTTTCCGACCTCTTACGGAAAGACCCGAGATGATGCGATTGCGCTTGGACCTGTTGGCGTGATTTTAACGGGAAGTAGCCTATAGATTTACTTTTTTTTTCTTATTGCAAAATAAGTATTTCAAATACCAAACACCAACACCCACACATACTCATTTTTGATTTGACAGCTTTTACTAGGTGAGTGACATTCGACAGAATTGATTAAAAAATAAGATGAAACTTCTAAAGATGTCTTTCGACTACTGATTCACGTGCTTTTATGGAGGAATATTTACATTTCCAAATATTTTTCCTTAAGATTCTTTGAAATTTAGAAAAAGTTTTTATCTCATGGGATGAGTAAGAATATTTCCATTGTGATGTGATTGAAGTCAAAAAATAGTGCAAACTTTTTTTTTTCCAAAAATGATCGTTGAATAACAAAAAATGTGTCAAGTCATCAGAAAATATGTAAATATAAAAGATGAATTCAATTTTTGAGAATTTATGAGGACATGAACTACAACGCTTCACGCCTGCATATTTAACTTGAAGCGCTATCGCGCTTCATGAAATATGCCGGCGTGAAGCGTCGTAGTTCATGTCCTCACGAGTTCTCAAAAATTAAATTCATCTCTTAAATATGATAAAACCCACTCATCAAAATAAATTCCTTACTGATAAGTAAAAAGTTGAGAGGTTAGTGTGGCTCTGCTCCCTATTATCTCTAATAAGATAGAGGGCAGGTATCGTCATTCAAGGTTAACTCTATCCGATAATTTCGTAGGAGGTAAACTAAGAAATGGAGGGTCTACCGCAGCCGATCCGTGATCCCCAGAATATCCACAAAAAGGTAAGCAGGACTGGGTCACATGGATTGGTTTTATTGTTACAATTATTTTGGAGGTTAAAGATTGATTAATAAATCCGAACTATTTAAGATAGTTTTTGGCCTGCCTCGAGACATACACAGCCCCTCAACACAGAATACGTCTAATATACTGTATTACATGTAGCAACGGAGTGGATCACAAACGTACAGACCCTGAAACGTGCTATTACTCCCAAAAAGCGTGTGACTTTCGTGCGCTTTTCGTTTCGTGCAATGCTAGCGCTTGTAGCGTTTCGTGTAAACCGTGCAGCATTTCGTGCAAACCCTGTAGCGTTTCGTGCAAACCCTGTAGCGAGCGTGTACCGTTCGTGCAGCGTGCGTGTGGGGTAGTAGCACGTTTCAGGGTCTGTATAATTAAGTGCCAAATAAGTAAAAATGAATTCTTAAAGTACTTAACTTTTCCCTTCAAATTTATCCACCATAGTGTCTGTGCTATTCATATTGCACCTGTCTTTGCCGTACTGTGTTTCTATACTACGGAGGCCCATCTAGGACTTACAAAAATATTTTTGAATTCGATATAACGAAATGTCGAATTTGTTAGAATGAATTTAATTCGTTATAACAATTTTTTGAACTTGTTATAATAAATATGTTGAATTAGTAATTAATGAATTCAAAAATTTGTTATGATAGTCAGATTAAATTCGTTTAAACGTATTCTAAAAATTTGTAATAACGAATTAATTCGTAAAAAAAAAAATCTAAAATTTGTTGTAACGAATTAAAGTCTTTTAATCAAATTAAATTCGACAATTAGGGCCTATAGAAAAGTATTTAAGAATTTGTTATAACAAATTTAATTTAAGAATTCGTTTAAGCGAATTTGATTCGTTATAACAAATTTTAGAATCCGTTAAAACGAATTTAATAGAAGGTGCAATGTGGCACTAAGCAACAAAGATTCTCCGAAAGTCTCATTAAATTTTATTTAGTGGTATAAGAGGGATCACGGATAAGAGATGGGTACCCAAAAGTGTAACGGATGGACAGACGGACGTACAGCTAAACGGACGGACGGACAACCTCATCACTATACCCCCGCTTTTCGGGGGGTGGGGGACAATTGAATGTCCCTTCTGATCACCTCTTGCACTGTTCAGAGCATGTAAATCATTTTCAGCTTAACTCAACGAAGCTGGGGGAGCTTATGTAATACCCTCGGTGTCGGCATACCAGGTTAAACATTTAGGAGCAGATTTCTTTTCTAGTACTCCTATGCCCTATATTAATCAGAGATGCATGGATGATGCTTCTAGTATGTTTCATTGTACAGTCAAGGTTTCAGATGCTGCAATTTCATCTGAAGAATGTTAATGTTTTTGGAGCAGGTTAAAGTTTTTGGAGAAGTTTAAGTTTTTGGAGCAGGTCTCATTTCCAAGTAACTATAAGCCTTATGTTGACCAATCTTGCATTGATGATACATCTAAGGATACACACTACCAGACTTGCTTCGAATGCTGGATCTGACCTACATTTTTCAGATGAGTGACCAGGTTAAAGTTTTTGGAGCTGGGCCATTACAAAGAAACTATAAGGGTTATCTGAATCAAACTTACAGGGATGATGCATCACGGTATGAACACTCTCAAACTTGCTTCAGATGCTGGATTTGACTTACATTTTTCTGGATTAGTGACTAGTTTAAAGATTTTATGAAAGTCCATTCCCAAGTAACTGCAAGCCCTATCAGTACATAATTGCATATATGTTTCATCTCAGAATGCACACTACTAGATTATTAGTTTGAGAATTTGCCTTACTTAAAGACATCATTCGTTGAGGTATGCTCTGTAATCTCTGATTACCTATGTTTAATTCCTCTCTTGGCCAATTTAACCATTGAATATATCACGACCCAAAATTAACTGAAAGTTCTATAAAACACCAAGTAAAATACACTTAATTCTGATGAAATCGTACTGAAGTTGCCTAACTTTCAGCTCTTGACTGTTAAAAATATATCAGTATTTCCATGAGATTACATCAAATAATTCATAGTGATTCTACTTCTAAATATAGTAAGTTTAGTGGTAAAGTTGCAAAAGGTGAGGTCCCTGAAATTTCTTACACTATTTAACATTACTGCAATGTTTTCAATGTGTTAAACACACAAGAGAACATGTTACACTTTATCATCGGCAATCAGCACCTTAGAAAATAAAACGAAAACAGTTATTTCTTGGTACGTCTAATGCTCTTTCCATGACATGACTTGGACAATGAGCCTTGCCCTGTCCGTCAAGTATTACGGTCATTCATGTATCTTGTTAAGGTTTAGACTTATATGTCTATAGTTTAGGCTGGGCGTCTTCACTTCTGCGTATCTAAATGCTGATTTGACATTTGCAATATACATGACGTGGTCAACTTAAAAGACTACGTGCTGAAGGCTAATTTAATGGTATGTATTTAAAACTAAAGTGCTCCAAGGAACGCATGAGTCGCCTGCTTTAAAGCTTCATTAAAGGTGTAAATAAATTTAAGAGCGGTCAGCTTTTTATTTACAATAAGCATGATAGACTGATAGTTCATGCATTTGCCTGCAAAGAAAAAATGGCATCCATAGATAGCATAAGATCTGACAATCAAAGAAAATATGATACCATAACCCTCAAATGAATAATTAAATTGAAATTATTAGAAATATTTTTTTTTGCCATTTTATTAATAAGTTTTTCCAACTATCCTCCAAAAGAGATTTCACTCTGTCTTTACTGCAATTGTCAGTCTACACGATCCATTGTTGAATACCGATCCCGATGTACATTTATGGTATTTAAATATGTTTGTGTGGTAACTGAATAACGTACAGTTTCAAAGTACTTTTTCATGAGCTAAACGTGTTTCCAATAATCATTCGAAAGAGATTTCATTCAATTGTGGAATACCGATCCCGATGTATTTTCATAGTATTTATAGTACATGTATTATAGTCCGTGTTTGCTCTGCTCCTATTTTGTATTGTTTAATGGACTTTTGAGCTTGAATTCTGTTCGTTATCTCCATATATTTCATTTAAATATAAGTGTGTTGGGTAACTGAATATCATACAGTTTTAAAATACACTATCATGAGCTCATAACCATGCATAAATGCTAATTATCTAAACCCTGCCTCTCAAAATTCAAAAGTCATAAGTTTAATTAAACTGCCCGAGATAATTTTTTGCAAAGAAGGTCAAAGTTCAAGGTCAAGTGGATTGTTATGCTGGAATTTTTCATATTGTCTTATGGCAAACAGTGCACATGCTAAATAGCATAGACTTACCTCTTAAATGTCAAAAATATGCTGTAAATCAGCACTATGAAATATTTTGAAAAGTTGGTCAAAGGTCAAGGTCAAAGGTCACCATGGTAATTTACAAAAGTCGTAGTGGCAAGCATTATTTGTGCAAAAATATTAAATCCATACCTCTTACAGTTCTTGATATATAGGGTGTGACAGACGGACAGACAGACGCCGGGTAAAGTGATCCCTTAGTGTCGCTCTACTCTGCTCTGCAAGCGACACAAAAATTGCCCTGCCAGACCATGATGGTGAAACAAAGTTTATTGGTGTTCAAAAACACAATATAAAAGGTACTGGCTTTATTTTCTTTACAATTCCAATGGCTACTAGTATGTCAACTTGAGCAAGTTATACGATTTAACTGGGTAAAGATAGTTTAGGAAGTATATAATTAGAACCGTCTTTAAAAGTTTAATAAAAATTTTTGCTCAAGTTTAGTGCATTTGTTTAGCAGGACAATACTTTATACTGCATATAACTTAAGCAATTGTCATTAGTAGTCTATTGAGTTGCCATATAGAAGAATAAGAAATATAGGACAGCATAAAAACCAGAAGTCTCTGAGGACACTGTAGCTCTACTGGTTTATACATAAAACAAAGGTTGAGAAAAGTAGCACTCGAACTTGAAACTTTGCAACAGCAATAAATATAATAATGATCCTTAAATTGGTTAAGTCTCTTTTTGTGGCAAGATTTACTGCAACCAGACCAAACATGTAGGAGAAGCAGCCTTTGAAAGAATTTTACAGAAAGTTCTATTTTAGTAACCATGGAAACATCGATCATCCAAATAAAAAAAAACGATAAAAACAATTTTGTATCTCAATGTAGTCTTTTTGTGTGCCAAGTAATATTGAAATCAAACCAGAACTGTAGGAGGAGTAGTGTTTTGAAAGTATTTCAAACATTTTTCTATTTTTAGTAACCCTGGCAACACTGTTCACTGAAATCAAAAACCGATAAACAGAATAATGAATCTCAATGAGGTCTACTTTTGCCAAGGTGTACTGAAATCAGACCAAAACTGTAGAAGTAGCGTTTTGAAAAAAAAAATGTTTACAGACAGACATACAGCTGGACGGACGACGGACACCTGACTGGTCTCTGACCAGTAGAGCTATAATTAAGCTTACCACGAATCCAAAAAAGCAGGCTACGCTACATTGTATCTACTCTTCTTAAATCAATATGAGCTGCAATTTTTTGGAATTTTGCTTTGCTCTTAAAATGTGTCATTATGATAAATTTGTATATAATTTAAACCTTTATGATCAATAAGCCTACCATAAAGTATTAAATTGTTTCAGAAGAAATACTTCTGTACAATCGAATGTATAGTATTACCGGGTATATAAGAAATAAATATTGTACAGGACGACAATAATTTAATTTTGCTTCAATCAAAGCCTATAAATAGTTATACCATTGCAAATATGAACAACAGAAGTTTATAAACATTCTTTTTTCTGTCATTGAAATAGTTAATTAAAATTTTGCAACAAAATTTTCCGACATCAAAGTTGCAGCTCATAATGCTTTAACTAATGCAAGTGAATGAACTAATTAATGTCACTGTATTTGCTGAAGACAATACTTTGTTTTACTCCCTTTCATGAAGAGCGATATTAATGACATCTTTTAAGAATAAATTTTGATGACATTGTAACGTTGTCTCATTTACATATGCAGATTTTTATCAACAACGAGTTTGTGGATTCTGTTAGTGGCAAAAGTTTCCCTATCATCAATCCAACAACAGGCAAAAAGTTTTGTGATGTGGCCGAAGGCGATAAGGTATATAAGCAGGAAAGTTGGATACTTATTTTAACTAACGGCTACTAGTATGATTTGACCTTGAATTGACCTTTACAGGAGGATATTGACAAGGCTGTTGCTGCAGCCAAGGAAGCCTTTAAGTTAGGGTCAACATGGAGACGAATGGATGCCAGTCAGAGAGGAAGACTCCTGTTCAAATTGGCGGACCTGCTCGAGAGAGACGCTCGATTGATTGCGGTATTCTAGAGATTGTAATATGTATTTTAAAATTATGAAGTGAGAATATGAAAAGAATGCAATGTACCAAATAAGAGATTCTTTTGATCAAAGACATTATGTTGAAAATTTTCTAGTTCACAGAATTATGTAAAATGAATTATACTGGTTTATACAAGTAGAGCATGATCACACTGGAGATGGGAAAAACTTTTTTACTTGCTTATTTCGAAACACTCTGGGGCGCAGGGGCTCTTCGATATTTTGCGGGATTCGCAGACAAACTTGGCGGCAAAACTATTCCTATTGGTAAGATAATGCAAAATTAGTGAATGTGTCACAAAAGCTATCCGTAATAACAACTCTTCGAAAGTTTGAAAGCATTTTAATTGCAAAACTTTGAAATAAACTTAAGCATAAACATTTTTGCAGATGGAGATTACTTCTGCTTCACTCGACATGAACCTGTCGGTGTTTGCGGGCAGATCATTCCGGTATGTTACTTATATGTAACCTGCGGCTAAATAATATTTACCTATTTATGTATATTGGAAGAAATCAAAAAAGTAACAAGCTTAAATTCATTATAGATATTTGTTAACTAACATGAAGCAATTTATTGCAGTGGAATTACCCTGCGGTCATGTTCGTGTGGAAAATAGCTCCGGCTTTAGCATGTGGATGTACAACGGTCATTAAACCCGCAGAACAAACTCCTCTCTCAGCACTTCACATAGCCACATTGTGTAAAGAGGTAGGAATACCCTCCGGTGTGGTCAACGTTGTGCCTGGTTACGGCCCCACGGCAGGAGCGGCTCTGACGTCACACCCAGATGTGGACAAAGTAGCTTTCACTGGATCCACCGAGGTCTGGTCTTTTTCTGACGGTTTTATCAAATTCCATATGATAAAATAAGTTTTTAAAACATCAATAATTCAACAGGTTGGTCAGATTATTCTTCAAGCAAGTGGAGTGAATAACATAAAACGAACCACATTAGAGCTTGGTGGGAAAAGTCCAATCGTTGTCATGGATGACGCTAATGGTAGGTCAGAACGTACCGTAGAACTTGCTGATAAGGAAGTCATTGGGACAGGAATTTTTTTTCTATCCATATAAGAAAGTGTTATTAGAGATGGGGAAAAGAATACTTTCTTATACTGAGAATTTCTTATATGGGTGGATTAAAAAAAATGACAAAACCCATATTTTTCAACCTACACTAAAAGCAGACATAAATTTCTATGTCTCAGCATATGTCTTTAGATAGTGTCTAAATACATGCCGAATATCTCATTGATATCTCAATTCACAAAAAAGTTATGCCCAAAAATGATGTTAAAAATGTCAGGAGTGCAACACCTTTTTTGACATTTTGAAAATTCAATATATTTTGACGATCTGTGAAATACATAATAATGATTTATGGTGGAAATAAAGACTTTCCTCATAATATTCAGAGTATTGAGTTTTAAATGTAGACTGTAGCAACTTTTGTTTGACCAAGTTAAGTTGTGGTCATGGCTGATGTTGAAAAAAGTGTTATACCATGTCAGGAATGCAACAGAAAAAATGTAGTGTTGCCAAAAGAAACATCGATTTTAAAAATCTGAAAGAGAATTGAGTCAAAACAGAATTTTCAAAGTGTAAAACAATAACTAAACAAAACAATTCAAAATTTTAAAATGTTACATAAATCACAAGCAGCATTAATGAGAGTCAAGTAGTGCATACCCAATAATGTCAGGAGTCCAACATTAAAGAAAGAACATTTTTACCAAATAGATTTATAAATTACTAGGTCTGTCTGTGTTTCAGATCTATATTTATATGGTCAGAAGTGCAATATATTTTTTTAAAGATTCAAGTTATATGATGAAAAGACTTCTACTCATGCTAAGAAATATTCTTTAATTGATAGTGATATATTTGAATAATTTAGTACATAATTATTGACATTTATATTATCAAAATCCTTCTCTTTTTCAATTTTATCATTCAGATGTGCTTTTATCTTTTCTTTGATTTTTTTAAGGATGTGAAAAATAAACACACTGAAAAATTGTTCAAGTAATTCCACCTCAACTTCACTGAATCAACAGAACAAGTTCTGATATAATTTTGGCTTCACAATTCTACTTTAAAGACTCCCATGATCTTGGTCAGGGGTGCAACAAATATGTTAGAATAATCACTGATCAAATATGAAAAAATGTATAAAAAAAAAAAAAAAAAAAAAAAAAAAAAAAGGAAAATATACTATAAAATATATTTTATCTTCTAAATATATATATTAGCTAGTATTTTGACATAAATAGGGAATAATTCAAGATATAAAGCCAAGTTTAAATACTTTAATGAGTTTTAATTTTAATTTGAAGTATTGGGCTATATATAATTGCACAATTTCATTACCACTTGATGTTGCCAACACTTTATGAATTTTTGTGTTCTCTGGTTTTAATTTTATTTTATTTTTTTTCCCCTCATTTATTCAGATTTTACATAAAGATATTTTGAGGCAAAGTCTCCTCAGAGACCCCCTTATAATCCGCACCTGGTGTGCCTACGCTCTCTGGATTGGATAGCATAGATCTATATATACATGAATATTATATATAATAATAGTACAATGACAATGAAAAAAAAAGATAAAGAAGATGGGTGAACAAGGCGTGCAGAATGCCTATAGATTCCGATATTAATAAAATCATATTCAATTTATGAATTAAGTCTTTAAAATAAAGTTCTCATTATTGAAATTTATTAAATTATGATCAACAAAACTTTTCTGAGAAAAAGATCTCGGAAAAAATTATTCTTTTATTTAAAAAATAAAATGGTATTCGTGGGATTCGAACCCCCTAAAAATAAAAATCCGGAGTTTCATATTGTATTGAGACCAACACGCTAACCACTACGCCACGCATCTCCTGACGAATAGCGGCATTTAAATCATGTTTGTGATATGACCCTTGACTTAATGGACTTCAAGTATTTCTCGGAAAGATGCGAATGCTTTGTCATAAAAGTGTACTTTTAAGGTATAGTGGGTCTTTGCTCCATGTTTTTGTAAACCAAAAAATGTATATTTTTATGCAAACTTTTAGGATCAACTTTCAAAAAAATGGAGCGAAGACCCACTCATATCGAAAAATTTTGATAAAGTGTGAGAAAATGATCCTTTTTGTCCTCTTTAGTGTGTTTAAGCTATTTCGTAGGCAAATAATTTCAGTCTTTGTGAGATTTTTGTAAATTGTACAGATTTAGCATAAAATATACTTTAATGTTAGATAAAATATCAAAGAAAATTTTTATATAATTGAGATTTTATTTTTCAATTCATGTTTGTCGCACTATAGGCACTTCACCCGCCTTGTTCACCCATCTTCTTTCTCTGAACAGTATTGATCTAAAAGTATTCCGTATTTTTTTTTCCATTTTATAATGTCAAAATTTATACCGCATAAAAGATTTCCGGTTATAACCTTGAATATAAACATTGAGTTATCCTTGACTTTTTTTTTTATACAGTCAGATAATACAAAAGAGTCGAGGTAAAATTAAAATCTACAGTTGATGTGTATAAAAAATTACTGCTTATAAAATCCGTGTTATCATGGAGGTCCCATTTCGCCTTCCAAAGTCCATATTGACCCCCACATGTTAACATGCTTCTTTGGTCAGGCTACCCCAGAAGCATTGGATTTCATAAGTTATTATATAATTAACAATTAATATTTTCCATGAAGAAGAAAAAATATTCTATTAACTAAGAATTATATATGTCTTTCAACATTTATACACATTTCAGCTAGTTTGAAATTTTTATATGACATTTTTATAATATTATAGTACATCAATAAATTGCTCTTCACAAATTTTATCAAATTTTCAGTAATACATGGTTCACAATTTACACGACATTTCATTTTATATTTAAATATTTTCAGAGCTATATAAGAAATGAGTATGTTCAACATTTCAGATAACTGAGTTTCTTCAAAAAAACCAATTACTATATTTTCCCAGCCAATATTGAACTTCAATGATTCACTTACTTTTTTCCATATATTCGAAGAATCATTACACTTTTATAAAAGATGTTCTATATTTTCTATTTCACCACACTTGTGACAAAATCTATGCACATCAGTATTCCATTTACTAGCATTCAGATTATTATTCAGCAGTTTATGTAACAGTTTATAATTAAAATCAGCAATTTGTCTATCAAACATTTTAGTAATTTTCATATGAAAAATTTGTGGCCATATTGATCTAGGAATATCAAATAGATCAGTCAAGTATTTTACAGTTATAGGTTGGTGAAATTTCTTTGCTCTCAATATGTTGTAGAAAAAGGAGGATTTCTGACTCTCAAAATTACAATAAATATCTCCATAAAATAAAGCAAAGTGATAGTTTTTAATGTTGGCATGCTGAGCTTTACTACATTCAAAATTCTTAGAGTACTTGTTGAACACTGATTTCATTATGAAATATTCACAGAATATATTTCTTTTATCTAAAAATTTTTCTAAAAAGTATGAAATACCTTTTAATCTTCCATTTATATCAAAAAGATCTTTTGTGTATAACACACCTGATTTTATCCAGTTTGATAGAAATGTGGGCTTGTTTTTATACATAAACAATGTGTTTTTCCAAATAGGTAATGACAGGAACTCATCTGTGGACATTTTTTTCATTTTAATTTTTCTGCAGTCAGGAGTGCAACAAAACTGTTTTTTGATTATCAATTATCTTCACCTATCTTTACTGAAAAATAAATTGAAAAAATGTTTGATACTATTTGATGTTAAAAACATTATCATGGTCTTAGGAACCGGCGAGGCAAGGGGGGGCCGTGCCCCCCCCCCCCATAATTTTGTCAATATATAGAGTACTATAGACAACATAGGTACTATATGTTTGTGCCCCCTCAATAAAAACGTCTGGTGACCTTTTTTTTTTTTTGGCTTGTCAAAGAATTTTTGGTAAGTGATAGTGCCCCCTCAACTGAAAAAGTATGGCTGTGCCCCCCCCCCCAACAACAACAACTGAAATTGCTCATAAACGTTCGACGTAATTTCTCAGTGACGTCATAAAGGGTCGACGCGCAATCAATGGATTAAACACGTGCCGTTGAGTTTGAAAACTAAAACATTTCACACGTTAAAGATTATAACCAGGCAAATAAAAAATATAAATAAGTCACAAATGTAAATATAAGTAATAAGGTATAATTTTTAAACATCTATCGGGATATAAATACGGGTTTAAGTCAGACTTAAATGGACAAAAATGATTGGGGGATCTATTATTTTATATTTCTTTCATATTAAAACTTTTCAAACCAGAATTAAAAAAAAATAATGTGAAACAACAATCAAAAAGCCAATTTTATCCCCACATATACAAGTGAAGAAACTAGATCAAGGTTTAGATCTAATCATTTATATCCCTGATGCTATTTTGAAGCATAAAAAAAGTATTTTTTTTTTTTTTTTTTTTTTTTTTTTTTTTTGATTATGTATTTTAGAAAGTCTTTAAGGATATAGTGATATTTTCTTTTTTCAAATAAAGTTTTACTAATAAAAATTCTGAAACTTTTTTTATCCAATTGTCTATTCTATTGCAACTTAAGGAATTTTAACCAGAATGCACGTACAATATGATGCTGTGAAAAATATGTTATGGGGGTTGAATTATTTTTAAAAAAAAAATTCAATTTGGTGGTCATTTTTTGAATTCACCCATATCTGAGTTCCTTATAAGCAGATTAAACTGTAATTATTCCAAAAAGAAAAAAGAACATATATTTCTTTAACGTTACAATATGAATTAACATTTCTGTAGTTGATGAAGCTGCAACTTTTGCTCACAATGGTGTGATGATGAATGCAGGACAGTGTTGCTATGCTGGTAGTAGAACATTCGTTCACGAGAAGATTTACGATCAGTTTATTGCTAAGACTCGTGAACTGGCAGAGAAAAGACTGGAGTTAACAGGGGATCCTTTTGATCCAAGAACAACACACGGCCCACAGGTAGGAAAAAACGGCACAGGGCCCACAGGTGTGTAAAGACAGAAGTTGTATCGTTTTTGGCTGATTGCAGCTACATGAGTAAGGAAGAGGGTATTAATGAAAACACCTTAACTGTTTTAAGGTAGATGAGACGCAGTACAAGAAAATATTAGAGTTGATTGACTCCGGTAAGAAAGAGGGCGCTAAGGTAGAGAGTGGTGGCGCTGCATTAGAAAGGGAGGGATTCTTCATTAAACCGACTGTATTCTCTGGAGTGACAGACAATATGAGAATTGCCAAAGAAGAGGTAAAGTTTGACTGCCTCTGCTATAAAGTTTATTAATTAGTGAATTTTTATTATTTAATTTCATTTTGATAAGACTGAAAGTACAACAGTAGTATTTTCTATTGGGTAGATTTTTGGCCCGGTTCAGCAGATTTTTAAGTTCAAAACTCTTGATGAAGTTATAAAACGAGCAAACTCGACTGAATACGGACTGGCCGCTGCCATTTTTACGACAAATGTCGACAATGCCATGATGTTTACTCAAGGTGTTCGCGCTGGAACCATATGGTATGATGCACACTGATAAGATAATGCACAATTTGGATAAAAGTCTTATAGCACGATTTTTTTCTTCTTCATTGTCCATATTTAAGAAATGATTCAACTACGAGGAGTTCATAAAGCGATTATGGTAAGTAAATTAACAATATGTACCGAGACGAGCCTTATTTTCCCCCTGCATAATGGACGACAAAATGTACAGTCAAGCACCAGCACATATTGTCGTCAGCGACGATATGTACAGTCAAGGTCGGCATATATTGTCGTCGATATATTGTTTTGACGAATATTCACTTGAGAAAGGAAAGATAGACTGACAAACAAACACACACGCACGGAGGGAGACAGTCAGCATTACTCGCAATACTGTAGGGAGAAAACTTTTGGTTAGAAAATTGTGTCCGGGATTGATGTATATTACTATGATTTGTCAAGATACCGTAATTCTTGAGATATCTGATAAATCAGCTTATTATTTTTTCTTGTAATACATACGTGGAGATTGAATACATGTACTAGTTTTTGTTCAGTAGTAATGATTATTTGGAAATTATTGCGTTACTCTTATATACAATCGTGTGCCGATATAATTGGTGTTGGGGTTGGCATTTTTAGATCACCTGAACTGGAAGTTTAAGTGAGCTTTTCTGATCACATTTTGTATGGCCGTCCCTCTGTCTGTAAACTTGACACAAAGCATCCGTGGATAAAGGGGATTGAAGTTTGTTGAAATGAAGGGTCAGTCCTCTTTCAAGGGAAGTAGTTAAGAATTAGTGAAAATTTAGTGACATCTTTTAAAATCTTCTCAAGAACCACTGTGTCAGAAAAGTTGAAACTTATGTAAAAGCTTCATAATGAAGTGTAGATTCAGTTTTATTCAGATCATGTCCCTCAAAGGTGATCAAAGTTTTTCATAGAATATTTATAAAAAAAATTCTTTCAATTTTTCTTTTTCAAGAAGTACTTAGTCAGAAGAGATGATACTTATGTGAAAGCTTCGTTACATAGCGTACGTTCAATTTTGAGGTGCTGGCACGAAAAAGATCCCTCACGGCTCAATGACCCTGAGTGCCAAGTATAGGTCTAAATTTACAGCCCTCCAACGGCAAGTGGTGACGTCTACATACGAATAAAAAAAACTCTCGAGATGGACATTATAGCAACAAACAAACAAACAAACAAAACCAATTTTGTTCAAATCATGACCCCTGGGGTAGGGTTGGGCCAAAATGGGTGATCAAAGTTTTACATAGGAATATATACAGAAAATCTTTACAAATCTTCTCAAAAAACCAGAAAAATGTAGCACCGGCGCCCCCCCCCCCCCCCTTCCCGGTGGTTTAATTTTTTGTTCTGCTTTGGTAAATTAAGTTTGTTTAACTTGAATATACTCTCAATTTAGTCCACAGGTAAAATTTTATAATTAAATAATTTACTTAACATATATAGTAACACACCTTTACATACAAATGACTTTAATTTTTTTTTTTGCTTGTCAAAAAAAAAAAAAAATCTGAACCGCCCGCACCCCCCCCCCCCGGTTCTGAAATTTCTGGATCCACCACTGAGAACAGTAGTAGGCCGTGATTAGTGATGCTTATATGGAAGTATCCTCAGGTAGCGCAGATTCAAGTTTCTTTAAAACAAACCGGGCTTAGGGTGGGGCCACAATGGGCGATCAAAGTTTTACATATGAATATATGGAAAATTCTTTAAAAATTATCTTCTAAAACACATCAAAGCAACGATTAGTCATGTTCAAATGGATTGATTGATAGATTATGATAGATTATACCTAGTCGGCAATTTTTCAGCCATACTTCGGCGATCAGATTAAGTGTATATGACCATTTCTGAAGTTTTTGGTTTCTCTGGCTATATTTATATGGAGCATTGCCGTGCATTGTCATGCGACATGTTCTGATGAACGACAATATGCACAGTAAGAGTAGGTACACATTGTCGCCGGCGACAATATGAACAGGACGACAAAATGTACCGTCTCAATCACGCTGTTTGAATTAGCATACGAGACACGTCAGATTAGCACACCAATTACATTCACAAAAGTACCATAAAACAACAAAAGAAATCTTTAAGCAACAATATTTGTCGGGCGACAATATGTACAGTGAGGGTGAGGCACATAATGTCACCAGCGACAATATGTACATGTGTAACTTTTCAGTCGGCGACAATATGTACCGATGGACGACAATATGTGCAATGAGGGTAGGCACATATTGTCGCCGACGACAATATGTACAAAACGACAATATGTACCGTCACAGGTGAGTTCAGGTGTCAAGGAGGAGTAAACATACCTTGTTGGGCGGTGTCACATCGCTGTGAGCCTTATGTTTTGATTCGGCATACGGAGTACTCTGTAGACAAATAGTATATTAAACGCAACGACCTAACAAATGGTACAAAACGTCATACAAAATACGACCCATAGATAGGTTGTGCCATTCATGCTTCGAATACTGCATGTAATATTTATTTCACAGACAATTTATCAGAGTAAAATCTTTTTGATTTAAAGTCAAACAGCTAAGAATTGGCAAAACCTTTGTTCCCGGGGCAGTAAACTTTGCATAAAAAAGCTTTAACTTTCTGACTAACATGAAATTCTATTCATTCATTGTGGTCCTTTCGCGAACTAAACATTTTCTCTTTCTCTTAATAAATTTTAGAAGTTTACAGTTTTATTTTCAATAAACGCTATTTCAAAATGTTTGAAGAATACTGGTACATTGGAAATTACCAAAGTTTAGACGTATTTTGAGTTATTTCTAGTTTTTCTTATCAAGTTTATTGTTTCAGGGTGAATAATTATGAAACATTAAGTGCACAGGCGCCATTTGGAGGATTTAAAATGTCGGGTATTGGCCGAGAGCTGTAAGTGCTTGATTATATATTCTGATTTAAGTTTTTATCAGGCTTTTATACTTGTGTTCATTTTTCTTTAATATTTTCACAGTGGTGAGTACGGCTTGTCGGCGTACCAAGAGGTCAAGTCGGTAAGACTGTGTTTGGTTGATATACTAGTATTTAAGTATTATACTATTTATAGCCAAATAGCAGTGTTTGAACTGCACATCAGATTGAATATCATTTGACGTTCTTTTAATCTTTACAGGTCATTATGAAAATTCCCCAGAAAAATTCGTAAAGTTTGACGACGTCTTACTTGCACTCTGGATATCACTACATGTACTTTGACATGGATTAAAAAAATTCCAGTGTGTAGCCATTCAGGCGAGTCTGTGACAATGAATGGTCTTTAAATGACAAAGGCCTTATTTAAACAGTTAATTAATCTGTTTATTTGCAAAATATATTCATCTATATACACGACCTCACGATCGGCTTGGGGATGTATTGCAATCAAGAAAAATAATGGAATAAAGATAATGGAAAAGTATATCAAGATTTTTTTCATTAGTCTTGGAACTTTTAATTTAAAGACTCAGTGATTTTCTATTGCATTAAGAAATGCACAATAAAGTGTACTCCTTCTGAACTCTGTGAAATAATGTTTTTTTCTGAATATGTGCATCTTATGATTTTTATAATAAAAAATCAGCCAACATTATAATAGGAGGAATAAGCTTCTTATGTTTAATATTCCACGTGTTATTTATATTAAATACAATTTATACAAACTAAAATACATTGTTACTTCCTCGACAGCATTCTGTACAGGAGTGACTGTAACTGTTAATGTCAACTCTCCTAAACTGTTAACATCAACTCTCCTTACTTGTTAATGTCAACTCTCCTAAACTGTAAACATCAACTCTCCTAAACTGTTAATATCAACTCTCATAGACTGTTAACGTCAATTCTCCTATACTGTTAACATCAAATCTCCTAGACTGTTCATGTCAACTCTCCTAAACTGTTACATCAACTCTCCTAAACTGTAAAAATCAACTCTCCTAAACTGTTAACGTCAATTCTCCTAAACTTTTAACATCAACTCTCCTTAACTGTTAATATCAACTCTCCTAAACTGTTAATGTCAAACTCTCCTAAACTGTTAACATAAACTCTCCTAAAGTGTTACCTCATCTCTCCTAAACTGTTAACATCAACTCTCTTTAACTGTTAACGTCAACTCTCCTAAATTGTTAACATCAACTCTACATAACTGTTAACATCATCTCTCCTAAATTGTTTACATCAACTCTCCTAAACTGTTAACGTCAGTTCTCCTAAACTGTAAACATCAACTCTCCTAAACTGATAACGTCAACTATCCTAAACTGTTATCATCAACTCTCCTAAATTGTTAACGTCAACTCTCCTAAACTGTTAATGTCAACTCTCCTAAACTGTAAACATCAACTCTCCTAAACTGTTACATCAACTCTACTAAACTATTAACGTCAACTCTCCTAAACTATCAACATCAATTCTCTTAAACTGTTAACGTCAACTCTCCTAAACTGTTAACATTAATTCTTCTAAACTGTTACATCAACTCTCCTAAAGTGTAAATGTCAACTCTCCTAAACTGTTAACATCAACTCCTAAACTGTTAACGTCAACTCCCCTTTAACATCAATTCTCCTAAACTGTTACATCAACTCTCCTAAACTGTAAGCATCAACTCACCTAAACTGTTAACGTCAACTCTCCTAACCTGTTAACATCAACTCTCCGAAATTGTAAACGTCAACTCTCTTACACTGTTAACGTCAACTCTCCATAACTGTAAACATAAACTCTCCTTAACTGTTACATCAACTCTCCTAAACTATTAACGTCAACTCTCCTAAACTGTTAACATCAATTTTCTTAAACTGTTAACGTCATCTCTCCTAAAATGTTAACATCAAATCTCCTAAACTGTTACATCAACTCAATGTCAACTCTCTTAAACTTTTTACATCAACTCTCCTAAACTGTTAACGTCAAATCTCCTAAAATGATAACATCAATTCTCCTAAACTCTTACATCAACTCTCTTCTTAACTGTAAACATCAACTCTCCTTAACTGTTAACATCATCTCTCCTAAATTGTTTACCTCAACTATCCTAAACTGTTAACGTCAATTATCTTAAACTGTTAACATCAACTCTCCTAAACTGTTAAAATCAACTCTCCTAAACTATTAACATCAATTCTCCTAAACTGTTACATCAACTCTCCTAAACTGTAAATGTCAACTCTCCTAAACTATTAACGTCAACTCTCAAAAACTGTTAACATCTACTTTTATAATCTGTGAATGTCAACTTTTATAAACTGTTTACATCAACTCTCAAAATCTGTTAACAGCAACTCTCATACTAATTTCATTTCAACAGAAAGAAGCAGCCTTCCTACTTCAAAATACAATACGTATTACAATTGGTTGTTGCCTTTTGTCCCAAACCTTATACCTTTTACTTTATGCTTTCCTACAAATATAAACATGAACCTTTTTTTATATTTCTGACGCATATAAAAGTACACAGGTTACATAGGTATCAAAAACAAAACATTGTGTTCCTACTTTAAAGGCAAATTATTTTATCATTTTTAGATTAGCACATATTGAGAATGGTTTATTTAAAGCAAAGTGAGTCTCTGAAATACAACCTAATTCAATTAATCTTTAACAAGAGGTTTATTTGTACTTTTTACCAATAAGAAATGTTGCTCAAACATTTGTGGTAAATACCTTTTTTGTACAGATTTGAAAATATTATGCAAATTTTTATATACACATTTCACGCAGAATTACTTTGACTACGGTAGTGTTTCACTAAGAAAGGGCGCTGACCTGCTAAGATTTATAGTTTGATAAAACGTTTGAATTCTTTCATTTGTATCAATTACCTTCATAAATATATTCCTCTTCATTCATGAAAGCCTTTCTCTCTTTACTTTGTCTTTTTTGTTTCCCCCTTATCTAGTTTGTTCATTTTTCATGAGATTTTTAACCATTCTTGTGGCGTACTATTTGTTGACTAAAATAAACCATTACAGAAGTATTGATATTCTGCAGTCCACCTTAAATTAAAGGCAACATGAATGATAAAAGACATTAATTTATTTAAGAGACTGAGAATTAATTTCTTTGACAGTATTTGTGCGAAATAAAGATGTCAAGGTATTTTCTAACTCAGTCTACACTACAAGCTGTTTATATTGAAAGTTTTCTTCTAATTCTTAATAAACGGCAAATTCACAAATTGTTGGACGATTATCTGTACAAATGTAGTTCTTCCAGTCAACATCAGCAAAAATCATGCATACATTCGATTCCTGGTTATCTGGGTATCCTGGTCTCCAGTTAGAATATTCAATTTTTCCTCCATTTATCCACTCAAATTGTCCGTTTGTTTTCTTGCCTCCCAACCAGAATACAGGTACCGAATTTGGATCTTAAATAATAATTAAATAATAGGAAAAATCCACTAGCTCTTTGATTTTGAAAAAAAAGATTTCAAAATACGATTCTCTATATTAATCATTGGCAAGGAAATGTTCACTAAATATTTCTTTACGTATGCATAGTGTGAGGTTTATTTTTGAAATGTTATGTAAAATTACTTTTGTTGCAAACTAGTATTTATTTAAGCAAACAAGTTTACAGAAATTTAAATCAAGATCATGCATTGAATAAAATTCTTTTAGATTTTATTAAATTTTTATTATATTTTTCCCGAGCACTTTTGACGAGTACAATTACATGTAAACAAATCAACCTAACAAAAATACTTGAATTTTCTCGCTAAATTTGATATGGATACATGTAGTAGTAAATGTATTATCCTTACGTCAGGATCAATATAATGACGTTTATATAAAGTTACCTATCTGAGGTATAAGAATGTTTCTGACAAATTGTTGTTCATTCTGAGACTGTAGTTCTACCAAGTATCCCCCACGATTCTCACACTCCATCTTGAAAAAACAGATCAATACAACAAAACCTGGAAACTACTTCTTTCTAGTTTATTCTCAATATCTCGAACTAATATTCGTTTACAAATTTTAATATTTTATTTTGATTTAATTAAATTGGTTTCATATTTTTTTACCTTTGCTGTACTCCAGGAAGGATTTTTGCCTATGTATTCGTAAGCACAACTCATTGGGCTGCTGTCCACTGTAATGTAATGGTAACGTATAGTAATCATGCTTAAAAGTCTAATTTCACCGCAAAAGTTGAGAGCAGAGCAAACAAGGAGCTATGTAAATATTGAAGTTGGGGTCAGGTGCTATGGAGGAATAAGAATCCCCTGTCGAGAACCCTTTCTTTTGATCGGGTAAACAGAATAGTCCGTTGACATTTTCAGTATGATAATAATAGCCTTACAATTTGTTTTGAATACGTCAGTCAACATTCAACCTAACGACAGATTGTGATTGCAAACAACGTCATTGTATCGACCAACTAATTTGCAAAGTGTTGACTTAAAACAAGATTGTTGCAAACAACGTCATTGTGTCGACCAATTAATTTGCAAAGTGTTGACCTAAAACAGATAATTGATTCCGTGTAAATTCAACCTATTAGTCAGTAGTCTTCCTTGGTTAGAAAATTGTTGATACGTACGCAGAGCATGTTCTTATATGAAACAACCAGAAGACATAAACACGATATTCAAACGACAGAGGTACATGTATATTGCCTCCAAAATACTAGTAAGTAAAAGTGACAATGCAAAGGTTGAAGTCATCACATTTAACATAAAGTTTAGTTGATAATTTACCATCCTTTTTTTCTTTTTACTAGTAAAGCATCCCAACATGAAACAGATCCTGTAGTGTCTTGTAATTCAAGTTCATTGGAATATATCCAATAAAAGTATGAACGAAAATTGGTAATTGATAAAACGATATATCTAAATGTTATTTTGAAAGCCTTCTTTTTCATGTTTTTAAAATTAAATTCTGTTTCATAAGAGTACAAATTCAGGTTGGCTAATACAGGAATTTAAATAAAACCCTTGGTACACAATGAAAACTTCAAATATTTTTTTTTGAACATCAAAATTTTATTCAAGTGGAATTTTTGAAAGTTTCTTTTTTTTTTTTTTTTTTTAAACAAGCTAGAATTTTGTTATTTTAGCATTTTGATACTGTAAACCATTTTTATGTTTTTTTATTTTGAAATATTCAAATAATTATAGACACAATTTCATTGTCCTTTGTTCACAATTTTGATTTTCGCCATTAATCATACCTCTTGCTTGTAAAGAAGGTGTATATAGTACGTCCTTCCGTCCATACGTCTGTACGTCCGTAACACTTGGGGGTACAAATATGTGAACTACAACTCCTATACCGCTGAATAAAACTAAATGAGACTTTCATCGGGAGGCTCGGCTTCGACTCTCATTCGCCTCGCTGCGTATAACCTTGGACGTAAACATATGTAGTGACTGTTCCCTCGACAAACGCCCTGCATGAAAAGTGAAAATCACTGTTCTTTCGGATGAGGCCTTAAAATCCGAGGTCCTGTGTCACGGTAGGCTTTGGTACGACAAAGAACCCTCACTTCTCAGTGGCCCTGAGTGTCGAGTACAGGTCTAAATTTGAATCCCTTCACCGGCATACGATTATGTCTCTATATGAGTGAAACATTCTCGAGTGGGATGTTAAACCGAAACAATCAATCAGTAAGACTTTCACAGAATCTTTATTACATAGTGCCATTGTGTACCTGATATTTTACATTTCAATCAGAAAGCAAAACATGCACACCGGAAGAATTTCTATATTATTAGGGATACCCATCTCTTATGCGCAACTCCTGCTATACCACTAAATCATATTTAATGAGACTTTCACAGATTTACAGAGTGCCATCGTGCACCTGCTCTTTTATGTTCTGATCGGACAGATATTTAGGGTTTTCCATTGCAAAAATGGACTTTGCTATTATACTCATATGGGAGCGAGGGTATCGTTTTGTTAGCTCAGTGCTCACAGTACCTCCAGTTTTAAAAATATTTTCAAAATAACTTCAGTTCAATTATTTGAAAATTATCAATATTCAGTAACCATTTATTCATTCTTCGTAACCTTGTACGAACGCTTGTATTTTCCAAACATAAGGTCAATCTCTGCTTTAGTTTGTTTACGTTTTATATAAAATTTTAAGTTAAAAATAATTAAAAATAAAAAATAAAATAAAATATTGTATATATATCGTTCAGCTTAGCATGTATTATACTTAAAAAGTAATCGTAACATTAATAAATCTAGAAAATGACATGGAGATAAGATTTTTTATCACCTAATACGATATAATAAGCATACCTGTACTATCGGTTAGAAAGTGTTGATATCCAAATGATAATGTTAGTTGCGATGCACAAAGTTGACCAGTGAGGGTACAAGATGAGGTAGCTTTATTGAAGAAGAAGGAGGAACACTGAAGATTATTTAGAGCTATCAATGCACACTCTGACAGGCTAAAGACATCACTGTGCTGCACCAAAACATTGGCAGAGGGAGATTTGTCATCATTTAAATAAATTCTGTTGTATTTCAATGACATACTCCTAGCTTTCATATAAGGTTCAAATTTACAACAAAGAAGGCCAAATATCACAACCAGCTTCATCTGAACTGAACTGAAACCGATATGAGATCTGTGTGCTATTATCTGTCTTTTAAGTATCTACCGATTGTATTGATCCATTGAAACTATTTTCTTCTAGAGAATCTGGGAAGTTTTAATCATGATTCCAGGTTTAAAAAAGGGGGGGTGCTTCATTTTAATTTAAATTATTCTGTATTTTATGTAGAAGTTTATTATATACATGTAAATTAATTTGGATCGGTTCTTCGTATCGGGGAGATTTTTCCTTGTTTGTTTCTTCCTGTCGATATACTAGAGGGGGAAAGTGTTTATATGGGGAGAATTTTCCTTGTTTGTTTCTTCCTGTCGAAATCCTAGAGGGGAAAAGTGTTGTTTTTTTTTTTTTAACTGTGACATGTTTGCTTTACCGATGAAAATCACAAATGGGCTAAATATTTATGAATAGCAAGAATCTATAAGTATTTACTGATACCGGATACATAAATAAAAACAACAAATACTCTTTCAAGTATTTATTTTAATTACCTAAACTTTCTTTGTCTTCGAAATAGATGAATTCTGTTTTCAGCAGCAAGGAAAATAACATTTGGAAAAAAGAATGAACAATAAGTAATCGATTTAAATCATTTCATTTATTTAAACAGACGCATTGGAAAATGGATGAATTAATATGTTTTGATCTTCAGTGGATTTGTATTTGAAATGTCTGCTCTGACCCTAGGAATGCTTGATATCTAAATCGATTTACTGATTTCGTTAAGCAAAAAATGTATGCAAATCATATGTAAATAATAATTATTCTGATAAAAGACGAAAAGAACTTAATAATTGTTCGAATACTATTCAGTGTAAAAACCACCTTTATTTTGTGAAGAGATTTAAAAAAAAATGTAAATTGGCCATGAAAATTGAGTCATGGAATTTGCCAACAAACATACATAGACAGCAAAGGAATATATATGATCATTTCTGGAGAAGACAGTTTAAAAAGAAAATTTGATAAATTTTAAAATTTAAAATACATTTCTTAACAAAGATACATTGCAAGGTCATGTGGATGTTCTACCAAGCCCCTATTTTTACTCCTCTTAAAAATAAAACAAAACTCTGTGTTACTCAAATATGGATTCTCAAAAACTCAAAAGAACCTTTCTAAAATTTGAAATCATAAAAAATCTTCCAAAAACTCAATAACATCAAAACGTATGACTTTGTAAACTTTCATACAACCATTCCTTATGATAAATTCAAGACCAAATTTTAAACATCATAGATAAACGCTTCTTCAATCAAACTGGGATTTTACATGCAAAATTACATTGTTAAAATCATTCTGATTTTAAATACAAGTACTCTGGGGTTGATATTAAAAGTTCCTCAATATAATAATGAGGAATATGATAATATTTAAGTAGTCTTTAAAAACCAGTCCCTTCAACAACCTGTTAGAATTCATATGGCCTCTAATGGTACTCATTTAATTTATTTGCAGACCTTTATTTTCTTATAAAGCAGAACTTAAAAAACGTCAATGTAAGAAGAAGAAACCTTTTTCACTGACCTCCAATTCGACATTTTGATATATTTGACGAAGTTTTATCAATTAAATTATTATCGATATCCCAGTGAACTAGAAATAGAAGACACCTCAGAGTCTGCCACATCCGTTTCATACTTTGGTGTTTTACTGACTATAGACGTTAATGACAAATTAAAAAGTAAATTAACAGCTTTCCATCGTCAGCTTTCCCTATTTAGTAGAATTCTTCCGCTAACACCTGCATATGGTGTTAGTGTCTCCCAACTCATTCGTAACTCAATAGAATATTCTTAGTACAATCAATTTTTTAACCGAGGCAAGTAAGTTGATGTTAAAGGACTTTCGGCTATCTCATTTAAAGTCAGCATTTTGTAAAATTTATGGTCGTTATGACCTTGAATACAAAAACTATCAATCGTTGGGTCTGAATGTGACTGAGATGCTTCATACCAATTGTTAAGCCATTGTTTAAATACCAATTTTTTCACTACGGATTACTGAGTTCACCTAATCAATACAAAGGGCTCATGGCAGATGTGGCCGATCGACAGGGGATGCTTACTCCTCCTAGGCACCTGATCCTATCATTGATGTTTTATGACATTGATCACTGTTCGTTATCTTTACCCTTTTCGTTATATTTACATCCCAGCTATTCTTTCAAACACACACAAATGGAACTGTATAGGGCTAATTTACTTTAGCTTAAGGTTGTGGAGTAAGACTGCAATATTACTCCTCATTGGAGCATTAGAACATAAAGGTGTGAACTTTCTTTCTAAGCAATCTTAAATAAACATTACATCATGTAAATTTATGACAATATCTGCTATCCTTTAACTGAAGGATTTTCAATGATCAGTTGTCGAATTGCTCCTTGAGTATCTTTGGCGTTTTAGTATTGAATGTACTTATTTTTACTCATTTCTAGATTTGTCGAGTGCAACAATAATAATTTTTCAGCTTAAACTTGTGTCCGGTATAGATCACGCTAAAAAAGTTAAAGGGAGCGTTTCCGGGATGAAAGGAAAGATAAAGCTCAAAAGTTAAAGATATAACAAGAAGTGGGGTTACGTATTATTAGCAAAAGGGATAGAACATATTATAGAAGACGGTAAATTGCGTTTGTAAGTATTTACAAATTACTTTTATTTATTTTAAAAAGACCTAGCAACTGTAATTTGACTCTATGACCTAAAAATATGGCGAAGTTTATACAGGCACCTGATCCAACCTCCTGTTCACGATTCGTTTTGTTTATTGGAATTTATTTGTTTATTATTAAAGAGACTGAGTGTTAAGTGATGCACTGATTATATATATATTTGAGCGTAAGACAGTTATAGCATAAGAGACATTCGTGAAGTAGTCAACTATGTAGCACACAATAACTATAGGCAAATGATTTCGAGAGGAGCTCTGGTTTTCCCTGTTACATGAAACTGTATATTAATGATGTGATATTTTTGTAAGGCAAACAGCTTCTTGGATATTTTATTACACCTGAATGATTCAGTACTTTGACTCTAAGAAAACCAACAAAGAACTGGAAGTTTTAAATGATTCTAATTTAAAGTTTGATTGCAACAGATTATAACTTACTAGTAGATGATTTGTCCATTGATGCATTATCAAAATGAATACAAGTGAATGGTTTGGAGGACGCACCTTTTGATATATGTACATGTTCTTGTATGTCAATAAGAGAAACTTTTTCAACAACAACATAATGCCCTGTTCACACGGAGAGTTTAATTCGAATTAAACGTAAGTTACTGCGAATTAAAATTGAACCGCGTTCACACGGATAATTTAATACGAATTAGTTTAATTTGAATAAATTTACTGCGTTAAATTACTTCCCATTTGCTCAGCGTGAACGCTAAGCGAAGCTAATTCGAATTAAATTTTGACGCATGCGTAAGGGCAGAGTTAAGTCAAAGACCACAAGTCGGTGGTCAGATACAGTAACTTGTGCTATTTTTGAGTGGAAAACAAAAGAAAATTATGGTAATCAATAAAATTTGTACAGACACTATGACATTAATGTCAAATGTATCTGCTCAGCACAATGTGACGTGATTTGCAAATGACGCCATAATAGCCTTACTGAATAGCCTTACGGTAGAAATATAATTTTAATTCGACTTAGTTTACTTTGCATTAGATCTCGTGTGAACGCAATTTAATTCGCATTAGTTTAATTCGGATTAGTTTACTTAGAATTAATTTACTGCGAATTCAACTCTCTGTGTGAACAGGGCATTATATTCGCTTGAAAATCTGGCTATCAAATGTTTTATATTATTATGTCTAGTAAATCGTTAACCTAATCGATTTTACGTGCAATATTTCTACTTAAAAATTGCCCCTATCGTTATGAAAGTCCTTACAACAGGTTTTGGGTTTTTTTTTTCAAATTGCGGATCCCTTTAATCGAAGTTTGTTCTACAACTTTAAGTGATAACATGTCAGCAGAAAGTCACACAAAGGTGAAAACTTAACTTCCTTCGTTGTTATTTTTCAGCAATGGCGCTTGAGAGCTTGAGACCACTGAAACTGATCTACGATCTGATTCTTGAACTAGTGAAAGTGATTATGCTTTTAACTTGGTATCCATTAAGAGAATTCCTACTAGTTCTGGTGCCATCGTTGAAGTGGTTTCAAAGAAAATGAGATTAGAACTATATTTTGCAACCAGATATTATTCGGAAATCAAAACTTTCTTCTAGTCTTATTCCTAAGTGATAGTTTTATCATGTTCAACTCTACCTTGTTATAGACTTTCTAAGATAAAGAATGATGTTCAAACTTTTGGAATTTTATTCAATTATTTATTTTATATCTTATTAAAAACATTGTGATTGTACACACAAGTACTCCGAAGATATTAAAAAGATTCTTGAGTTTCTGATGGACAATATCTACGTATGGTTTAGCGATCGTCTTCCAACAATCTGTCGGAATCCCCATTTGTACTAATTGCGCCCTGTTATTGGAACACATATTTTTGTATTCCTACGAAGCAGAATTTAATCAAAAGCCTCTACACAAAGAAAAGAAGCCTCTTGCAATGGCCTTCAATTCAACATTTAGATATATCGACGACGTTTTACCCACCGGGTATCAATTAACAATATTCATTTTCATGCCTACGTTGATTCGATATATGTCTTTGAACTCGAAATTAAAGATACCACAGAGTCTGATTCATCTGTTTCATATTTGGATAATTTACTAGAAAAAGTTGTTAATGGTAACCTATCAACAAAAATTTAAAATAAAGAGGAGTAATTCAACTTTTATATCGTTAAATGCCCTTATCTATGCAGCAATATGCCATTATCACCTACATATGGAGTTTATGTCTCCCAGTTGATTCGATACGCAAAAACATGCTGTACGTACAGACAAT